AGTGTACCGCAGCCATCGGGAGCGCTGTATGTGGCTGTCCACAGGAAGGCTGCTCTTTACTCTAGCTAACAAATGTGTTCCTTGGAAATGGAGGAAAACAACACTAGCATGTCTGGCCCTGGGTTGGTTATGTCAAGATCACTGGACCAGCTTGATTTGCACCTTTTTCCTTTACTTGCTCAAAAATTGATTTCTAATCTTTCTCTCCTTTCTTCCACTTTAACTTCTTGCAATCATAGGGTACGCAGTTGATTTTCAGTGCTGCTAAGGAACTGGGACACTTGTCAAAGTTGAAGGTACTGGTGTTGTGTGTGTGGCTTGCATTTATGTCCTTGTATACAAACATGAAAGTGCAGTAGTGCATAGCATGTGTTCTGTGTCTCCCCCTGTCTGTGACTGGCAATGTGCCCCTTAGAGTACATGCTACTAACATGAGTGCTACGCTTAGATTTACTGCATGGCTTTACATTTACAATAGATTTAATGATTTGCATGTTCAGTATAACAAGTGAACAATCGGTAATTTATTTTAAAAGGAAAAAGAAAAAACACGGAGAATCCATCCAATTCCTCTACATGTACTTGTGCAATAGCAAATGCCAAGTTTTCGCTTTGAGCTCTTTTATAAATAGTAATGAACACTTGTAATAAATGAATATCAATGGGAATGTAGGCTGCATTAGCTAGTGACGAAGGAATCGTTTCTGAATTGGACTCATTGATATGAAAATAACTGTCACGTCTTAGAGCAGAGCTGAACTGTGCCCAGACATTCTGACTGCGTGGGCACTCTGTTGCTGGAAGTTGGCATTTAGCATGCAGGCTGATCTGATGTGCTTTGACGGCACCGTAGCTGACATGAGTGTCACTAAGTGCACGCTGCCTGACGGTGAGCCAATCACGCATTGCTCCAGGGGTCACCACAAGAATGATATGCAAATAGAGAGATGGAGATGCTTTATACCGGTCAGGCCCTTCTGAGTATGATTTAACCTTGCTACAGAAAAACTCGTGTGCAAGAGAAGCTGCAAATGAGGAATCACAACATACGAAATGATCAATTGTGTAGCAGGGAGGATTGGCAGGAAGCTGAACTTGGTACAAGATGCTAATTCCAGAGCGCTTTCCAATGCAACGAGCATTTTTCTGACTGAATCAATGTCTTTTAAATATGTTCCGTTAACATTGTTTCCCTGCCATTAAAATTCAGTTGCCTTGTGCATGTATCACGTTTGTTACACTTATTGACACAAGATGCTAATGGACTGCGACTGCATCTGTTTTTTTTCTTCTCCATCAGTGTCTACCCTGCATCTCGGGACTCTTATCTCTTTCCTTGAGGCACCCAGGTTTTTCAGGAGCCCCTTGGGCTCCTCTGTGGCAGAACTCAAAGCTCAGATTCCTGTGCTGGGGGCTGTGCTGTGCTACTTTGCCTGCAGCTGTGAGGCATCTAAGCTGTCTGCCTCCTTTCATCCTAGTACCCATGGTTGCAGATTTCAGCCGTAGCTCAGCAGAGGGGCAGCAACTGAGCTTCAGGCAGCCAGCTGGCCAAAGGCTTCAAGAGGATGGGGGACAGTCCTCCTTGTCTTCTCAAGTCGCTGGGTCACATGGAGGGCCTTTGCCATTCAGAAAGCTGCTGTGAACATAAATCTGAAATGACACAAACATTCTGCTAACTGCTATTGCCTGTAAATCTGTTGGATGTAAGTTCAGTGAAATGGAATTTTTTTTTGTACAAAGGACTTCGTTTTCAGACTTGCACATGCCTCATTTGCATAGATGCACATTCAGTGTTCCTGTGCAGCCCCTGATTTGCACGCCCACGGACTTCTGTGCACACACAAGTCCAGGATGACAGGGGAGACGTCTACTGAAGTTCAGTTATGTGCATGTTAGCTGCACACGAAAGTGTACGTGCACTCGTCTGTATCTGACCCAGAGGCATTAGTTGCTCTTTGAGTGATTGCTCATGTGCATTTCAATAGGAGTGTGTGCGCGCCGCGTGCACGATCGTCGGAAGATTTTTCCTGTCAGGTCGGCTGTGGAGACCCCTGGAGTGGCGCCTTTATGGTGGTGTATATAGGTCCCTGCCGACCCACCGCCTGCTCAGTTCCTTCGTGCCGCCAGTGACGGTCATTGGAGCATAGAATCATAGAATATCAGGGTTGGCAGAGACCTCAGGAGGTCATCTAGTCCAACCCTCTGCTCAAAGCAGGACCAATCCCCAACTAAATCATCCCACCAGGGCTTTGTCAAGCCAGACCTTAAAAACCTCTAAGGATGGAGATTCCACCACCTTCCTAGGTAACCCATTCCAGTGCGTCACCACCCTCCTAGTGAAAAAGTTTTTCCTAATATCCAGCCTAGACCTCCCGCACTGCAACTTGAGACCATTACTCCTTGTTCTGTCATCTGCCACCACTGAGAACAGCCGAGCTCCATCCTCTTTGGAACCCCCCCCTTCAGGTAATTGAGGGCTGCTATCAAATCCCCCCTCACTCTTCTCTTCTGCAGACTAAATAACCCCAGTTCCCTCAGCCTCTCCTCATAAGTCATGTGCCCCAGACCCATGATCATTTTTGTTGCCCTCCGCTGGACTCTTTCCAGTTTGTCAACATGCCTTTTGTAGTGGGGGGCCCAAAACTGGACACAGTACTCCAGATGTGGCCTCACCAGTGCCAAATACAGGAGAATAATCACTTCCCTCGATCTGCTGGCAATGCTCCTACTAAAGCAGCCCAATATGCCGTTGACCTTCTTGGCAACAAGGGCACACTGCTGACTCCTATCCAGCTTCTCGTCCACTGTAATCCCCAGGTCCTTTTCTGCAGAATTGCTGCTTAGCCACTTGGTCCCTAGTCTGTAACAGTGCATGGGATTCTTCCGTCCTAAGTGCAGGACTCTGCACTTGTCCTTGTTGAACCTCATCAGATTTCTTTTGGCCCAATCCTCCAATTTGTCTAGGTCCCTCTGTATCCTATCCCTACCCTCCAGGGTATCTACCTCTTCCTCCCCCCCCCCCCCCACCGTTTAATGTCATCCACGAATTTGCTGAGGGTGCAGTCCACGCCATCCTCCAGATCATTAATGAAGATATTGAACAAAACTGGCCCCAGGACCGACGCCCGGGACACTCCACATGATACCGGCTGCCAACTAGGCATGGAGCAGCTCAGTCTCTTGCATTCGCAAGTGCCTACCTAGTGGTTCCCTTTTCTTCATTGTACATAGTCGTTAGTTCGTTATATACTAGTTTGTAGATAGTTGAACTTACTTTGGGGGGCTTCCCCCCGCCCTAATTTCCCCAGGCACTGGGGCATGCCTCGGTCGCAGGGGTTTAAGGTATGCGAGAGGTGTGTGAAACCTATGCCCACAGGCGATCCGCACACTGCTTCTCTCAAGTGTTCAGGAGAGGGCCATCAGACAGATAAGTACCCAATTTGCAGGAGCTTTAGATCCAGGACTGTTGTTTGAAGCTCCTCCTGATGGAGTCGGCCCTCTGCCCATAGCCGGCACCAGAAGGGGCACCGGCATCATCGGTGCAAAGCGCCCCAGCCTCGGTGCGGGATGTTCCGGCACTGAGGAGGGACTCCTCCAAGGAGCACCTGCACCGCTCCCTGAGTCATAAGGCTACTGCTATTAGGCGGCACCGCATAAGAAAAAGAAGGCAGACAGGACTCGTTCCCTTGTCAAGAAGCCGCGAGGGGATTCCAGCAGGGTGCGTCCTCCCGTGGGACACCCATGGTCTGGGCCTCAAGACCCAGCACCATTGACTCTGGCCCCAACAGGAGGCCCATCAAGTCCAGTGCTGGTAGACGCCCTGACTTGGGAAGATCTGGAGGAAGAGCTCGACCTTCCCGCCACACCGGATACCTACGAGGCAGCACGGGACCTCATTGCCATGATGGCACGGGCCCTCATTGCCATGATGGCACGGGCCCCGGCACCACAAGCCCAGGCACCGGTGACAGAACCGGCTGCAGCATCTATCCCAGCGCCGCATGTGGCTCCAGCACCCTTTGCGGCACTGATGGTGGCACTGCCTCTCGTTCATCGTTGTGGCAAGTCTATGATGCTACCGCGCTGCTCACCATCTCCCCGGTACTGGTCGGGCACAGACTACTCTTCCGAGTCAGATACCGAGTCTTCTGTATCTTGTCGCAGCCACTACTGCTCCCGGTCACAGCACTGCATGGGTGGAATCATCTGCACCGGCAGTCGCCTGGCAGGGCCCAGTCCAGTGGCCTTTTTGGACTCCTTGGGCCTACCATCAGGCTCAGGGCTCCAGGCCGGTATCAGTGGCATCTGCACCCCGTGCCCCCCACTCAGCAACGTCGCTGGCCTGGACACCCCCAGGGCTCCTGAGGACTCCGCACATGACAGGGACTCTGGGCTGTCACGTTCAGGCGCAGCAGCCGAACCAGTGCCATCAGTGACACTAGAGCCATCTCCAGTCACAGGAGGCTCCGAGGCACCTGACCCGACCTCCAGAGAGCCAGAAGGGCAGGAAGATCCTGTCCCATGGGCCTTCCCCTTCTTCTCACCAGATGAGGCGATGGCGGGCACCACCACCACCCTTCCGGCAATGGACACCAGGACCGCCTTAGGAGGGTGGCCCCAAACCTCAATCTCCAGGCAGAGGAGGTCATGGAGGAGTCTGACTCGATGGTGGACATCCTTGCCTTGGAGGGTCCTTCTAGGGTGACCTTGCCCCTAATAAGAACTATCCAAAACACCACTAAGGTGCTCTGGCAGACCCCGGCCTCTCTACCACCCACCGCTAAAGGGGTCGAAAGACGCTATTTTGTGCCGCAGAAAGGGTACGAACACCTTTTCACCCATCCCCAACCAGGGACTCTGGTGGTCGATGTGGCAAATCACAGAGAGAGGCAAGGACAGCCGGGTCCTGCGCCTGAGTCACGGGACACTAAGAAGCTGGACCTTTTTGGCCGGAAGGTCTACTTGACTGGGGGGCTCCAGCTTCAAATGGCCAACCAGCAAGCGGTACTCAACCGCTATGGCTTTCAACTCGTGGAGCTCATTGGCAAAGTTCCAGGTGTTGCTCTTGGCTGACTCGCGCAAGAAGTTTAGCACACTCCTTGAGGAGAGTAGGGTGGTCTCCAGAACCTCCCTACAGCTGCGTTAGACGCGGCGGACTCGGCGGCTCAGACCATGGCCACCGCCATTACAATGAGGCGCAGTGCGTGGCTCCAGGTGTCGGGAATGCCACCGGAGGTCCAGAACACGATTCAGGACCTACCCTTTGACTGTGGGCTTGTTTGCCCAAACTATAGAT